CGGGTAAAAGGGATGCGGCCAGTGAAAGGACAAGACAAGACAATAAAGCCCGACGCTTATTTACGTAAATGACGAATTTTAATTGGCGAGCCGAGGCATCGCGGGGGACCCAGACGAATGTCAGGACATGGACGACGAGGATAAGCCAACAATGTTTACATGCGGCCGATGATCTTGTACTTTAGCGCTGTTCGATTAGTCGTACGAAAATGCAAGGTTACCGTTTGAATATCGCGGCCCGATACTCATTTTCCCATGAGTCCTTCGATGTAATGAGATCGCTTGACCTTGATTGGTAGCACCAGTGGCAGAGAGAGAGAGAGAGAAAAGTAACAGCGAGGACGAGTAGTGATGGTGTGGGATAAGGAAATAAAGCCGACTACACATGTATTCATAAAAGTTTGTTGTATTTTTGTCATTTCTCTCTCAAGAATATTCACAAAGGACAATTACATCTGACTTATGCGTATATTTGTTCTAATCCTTAATCTTACATCCATAGTATTATCGCTTAAGTTTATTATTCACGCTTATTGTTACATTCTAATCGTAAACATTCTAAATGTCGATCACTTAATCAAGCATTTTCCCTTTGTTTTTTTTCTTTCCCCTTTACCTACAATTCTTAATGATAGTTTTGATAGATCAAACGGCTTTTTATCACCCAACTTTATTGGCGCGTCGTGGCGATAAAATTACTTTATTTTCAAGGTGCTAAATAATTTTCATTATCATCGAAGTGAGTCTTTCATAAGATTGCTTTGCTGTTTCCTTCTTATCCCTTTACAAATCGTTTATTCGTTTATTTATTCATTTATTTATTTATTTATTCATTTATTCATTCATTATTATCATTACTGCCCCCCCCCCACCCACCCAACCACTCCCCCTTCCCCTCCCCGCCCCACCCACCCACCCAACAATGTGCCAAACGGCCAAATAAACCGCATTTATAATTCGATTTCTAAAAAAATTATGTTTTAAACCTTAAATCTTATGTCGCTTTAAATATCATCTTTAATATATTATATATTTCTCGCTTGTTTTACCAAGTGCAAATTAGAATAAATCGGTAATTACATAGAACAATGATTTTTCGATTACCATCTTTCCCTTTCGTTTGTAATGTTCATTTTGAGAAGATCCTTTGCATGAAAACAGTTTTATCCTTAAAATATTAATAATATCCTTTGTATACAATCTTCATCAGGATTTGTGAAACATTCGCGGCTAATTCGGCATATATATTTTGTCATACAAATTTTTAAAAGACTTTTCGTCAGACTCATTTGTCGCCGTTTACAACCGCATTAAAAATCATGAATAATCAAACGTTCATTACTATTCGTTAAACATTAGAATTATTTACAGGCACGGGCTGTTTACTTTAATTTCATACAACTTTTTCATCTAAATAATTTATCTCGACTCCGTGCTCCTGTCAAATTGCATCTCTGCAAACGAATGTTTCACGCTAATAGTCTCATGCGTCTACTCAAAAGAAAAACAGAGGAAACAAAAAACAAAACAAAAAATGGCAGTCGAGAAACATCGATTTGCTTTGTGATTTGTATGATAAATATATTATATGTTTGGACAATGTAACACTGCCATGATATCATTTTAATTTTCTTTTATGCTTTTCGCTACAAACGGCTTTTCTTTTTAACCTATCGTAGTGCTTCTGTTTCATCATAAGGCGGACAAGTTTATTTCACGAGACATACACATTGAATTTTTTCTTACTACACTTACACACCTCCCCTAATCACTACCTACGTATATCTCTCCTCCATTCTACCCCGTACCCCCACCCCCTCTACTCCATCCCCACCCCCCATCCCAAACCGCAACCCTTCAATTTTTTTTCTGGCTTTTCATCGATTTTTTCATACAAAACAAAATGGCATCTTTTTGGCATTGGAAGAAAAAATACATTTTTCAACGTTGTCTCTCTTTATTATTTACTCGTTTCGTTTTATTCAATCATAACTTTTTTAGCTTCTTCTCGTTTATCCTTTTCTCCCCTCTCTATTCTTTTAGATATAATTATTTTAAAAATTGTCTTCATTCTTATATATTTTAGATTCAATAAACTTATTACAAATATTTTACTTTATTTACTTTCTAAATATTAGCTTTCGTTAACACTATTTTGGCATCGTCGCATTAATATCAGTTTTATTGTTTCTTTATTTGCTTTACGTTTACTCTTCGTCTTCTTGATGTTAAACAAATCGTAAAGATAATATGAATTCGCTTTTTTACTTATTTTGTATTAATGGCAGTGTTTTTTAACTGTCGCCATCAAAATGATGAAAATATGACATATTTGATTTGTCTTAACAGAATGTTTACGATAATAAATTATTAATTGTTTAGTAGAATACAAAGTTAGGATTAAGAAAACGAGAGTCCATAAACAATTCGAAAATTACGTTACAAATAGTAACAGAAGCATTAAAAGAAAATTATTTATATATATATATATATATATATATGTGTTTTTGTGTCTGTGGGTGTGTGTGTGTGTGTGTGTGTGTGTGTGTATGTGTGCTTATATCACACATTCATTTAAAAAATCAAGACAGCATTTTTAAGTGCTCTTCAGCTAGTTTTTGTATCTTACCTTGGAGAAAACGACGATTTGTACACACAAAAAAAAACAACAATAAAAAAGAAATTAAAATACAAAAGTTCAATTTTATCGCCTCGGACTTTCGATATTTTTGTATATGTTATAATTATAAATTCCGAGACGATACTAAATGCAAATATGATTTATGATCAAAGTTGTACTGTGAGTTGCTTTTTCCTTAGTAAAAGATCTAATAGAAACACCATTACTTTTATAATGAAGAAACGCCATTTCGATGTAAACAAGAGTTACCGATTAGTCTTTAAGGCGCCACAATATTTTGTAAAATTTCTTTAAATATCCTCATAAAAAGTCATATCATTATCATAAAAGTTACACTTAAATTTTACTCTTAAATGTACTAAATTGTATTAGTGATTCTATCAGATGTTTTGTAAGAGGAAAAAAAATACATACACGTACACGCGCGCGCGCGCACGCACACACACACACACACACACACACACACACACACACACACATATATATATATATATATATATATATATATATATA